CAAAAGGACACATATTCCTTACATAAATACAAAAACTTGTTAAAACCATTTTTGCTGGTGACACCTGATGGCTACATTTTAGACTGCTTTGGCCCATACAAAGCTACCACAACTGATGCAGATATAATGAAGTCTCTTTTCAGAGATGAAAACTCTCCTCTCAGACAATACTTTCAAAATAACGATGTTTTTATTCTAGACAGGGGATTTAGAGATTCATATAGTTTGTTATAACATAAAATATCAAATTCATTAATAAACAAAAGGCCCGCACTGCACCTATCTACTGTGTTATTTTTAAGAAAGGACTTATAAAATGCCAACGATTTTTAGAATAATAATTAGAATAATAAATGCAGTGATATTATACATGATGTTTGGGATTTATAGGACAGATGTGTGTGTAGGGTGCGCTTTAAGAGATGCCCTATTATTGTGTGATAAATAGTTGTTGTATGGTTCCACCACATATTTTTATTTAGGAAAGACTGCAACGAGCTTGAAGTCGCATGTAAGAAGTTATATTATTTGCACTAGGACCATATGGATTCAACAGGAAAGGTCCTATTATAGTGAACATGTAAGGTTTGTGTGGTAAGCATGTTATGACGCTTGTGTGGTACCTTGGGTGGGCCAGGCATCAGCCGACTATATCGCCAGTGCCAACATCACTCCTTGATGTTGTAGATATAAGAAAGGATGATGAATAAAAAGTAATTTTGTCTAGCCTACTTGTTTCATTAAAGTACTCCTAAATTATAAATTTGATTACACTTCATTTATTCCCGTAACCTACCATTACTCGATTTTTCAATACATATGCAACTTTAGTACTGAAGACTGAAAGACAGTAGGTATCTAGCGACTAACTCTCTGGTCAAACTACAAAAAAGCCTTGAAATCTTTTAGGAAAGACTTCGTGTGATAATAATTACGCCATCCTTGTTTTTTACACTACATACTGTGCAAGCTAGTGCAATACATGTAGGTGTAGTTTTTATTGAATTATCGGTCATAATTTGTTGTCGTAACGGTCAACTTCACGACATGGTTTGACAGACGGCCCTTTTTGATTTGACATCGAACTTTAGGGAGTATGGTGCACATACGTAGGGTGCGCTTTGACCCCCCCCCCCGATCGGGTTCCCGCCTTGTCGTGGCGGTGGGGCTTAGTAGCCGTGGCTTGGTCTCCCGCGGTGAACAAAGAGGAACCCACATGGCCGGCCCGAGGTGAAGGGCCGGCCCGAGGTGGCCACTCCGAGTGGGCTTGGGAAGCCCACTTCGGATGTGTGTTGGTGGACTGCGGCGAGAGGGGTGTCCGCACCCTCTACCGCTGCAGCCGAGGTGGAGTCGCGGAGGAAGAGGAGTGTTGGTATGGCGATGCGCCACTCGCCCTATCCTCTGCGACTCAAACGGGGCCGCACCGTTGATGCGGTGGTGGTGGGGCTGCGGGGGGAGAGGATTGTCGGTATTGCGAGGCGCCGCTCTCCCTACCCTCCGCAGCCGAATCTTGGTTGGCGGCGGAGCCACAGACCAGATCCGCCGCTGGGGTCGGGAAGGTACTTCTAAGTGCTCGTTTTTCCTGGCCCCATGGCCTTCGTGCATCGGACGCGGGGGCGTCTGTTGCGCAGATGTAATTGGAAGCCGTGGAGGAAGGTGCGCCTTACTTGGGAAGGAGAACGGGGAGGAATAATCCTCTCCCGAGGAGGTGCTACCATGGGGCGGCAGGCGCTGGTAGGGCCGCGGATGTGTGCGAAAGCGTTCCCGTGGCCCTGCCAATATGCGACAAATGTGGAAAACCATGGGGTTTTAGTCGGTGCGAGTCCGACATAACCCGTTCTTGCCCCCGCGAGGCGGTTATGCGTAGGCATTTCCCCATGTAAAAAAAAAATATATTATTGGGTAATATAATTATTTTAACTACACTATTAGGCTACGTCGCAGTCGGATAAAGCGTCCAAGCAAGGTTTTTCGTTAAAAATCAAAGTGTACAATAAATTGCCTTAAGAAATAACAAGACTTCGTTTCGACAAGTGACAAAAACATAATTTATGAATCACGCTTTCTATAATAGAGAATATATGAAATGTTCATTTTCTGACTTGCTTGACATGTAAAAATAATGTAAATGTATTTTGAGTTGTAATTTTAATAATCTAATGTAATCTTATATCATTTGTATTGATTGTAATTTTGACATATGTTATATTTTAATAAAATGGCCAATAAAAAAAAGTAAAAGGTATTTGTTGATTCAGCCTTAAAAATATTGTTGACGTTATTATAAAAAATCGTGGCGATTTAGATATTATTTTTAAACGTGATTGTGTTTACAACATAAAAACAAACCAATCTAACTATAGTTTGTTTTGGGACATGAAAAAAAAGTCATGTCCAGCTCCTATAGAAATTTGGCCATCCTCCTTTACACAATTTCCTTGGGATCGGATAAAGTGCTTAGCTAGTAAAGTTAAATAAAGAAAATAAACAGCAGTATATCTTTTTAATGTACTTTTCAAAAAACGAAAGAATTAAATGAATAACATAAACAACGAAGTGTGCGCGAATGTATGTCGTATTCGCGTTGGGATTTTCCCGCTCATAGTGTTATGACTACGTCTAGTGTAGTGCGTTTTAATGTGACTTATCGACTACCGATAAAATTTTGGGAAAAAAAAATTGTTAACATTGGATTACCGTGTTTTAAAACACGGCAAATAATATCCTGCCGTGTACCGTGTTTTATTCCTAAATAGACCCAAATTGCCGTGTAACACGGCAATTGTCATATAAATGGCAACGCTGATACTGATACGAAATCCATATCGAGGGCGGCACTGAAAGTTTCGGAAATCAAGGAAGTGACACAACATTACTATTTAAAAATGTATTTATTGCTTTTCGAAGTATTCTCCACGAAATTTGACACATTTTTCCATACGATGGAACCAATCATTGAAGCAACCATTCCATTCGGAAGTTGGGGTCTCTAAAATGGCCGTTTTGTAGGTGTACATAGCCTCTTCAGGTGATGGAAATCTCTGTCCACGCAATTTATTCTTTATTTTAGGGAAAGTATAGAAATCATTAGGGCTTAGGTCGGGGCCGTACGGCGGATGGTCTAATAATTCTATGTTTTCTTGCTCTAAAAACTCCTTTGTTCTGTGTGCGGTGTGAGAACTCGCATTGTCGTGATGGAGGATGATGCGGCGGTTGCAGTTCTCTTTACGGAGTTCAGAAACGACCTGTGGCAAACAAATGCTAGCATACCATTCTGCATTAACCGTTCTTTATCCCTCAAGAGGAACAGTCGTAACATGGCCGGTTTTGGAGGCAAACGTGGCCACCATTTTTTTTGCAACACTCCGTGAACGAACAATTTTTGTTGGCTTTAACTCATTTTCGAACACCCAAACTCGTGACTGGTTTTTTGTTTCGGGTTCGTACGCGTATATCCAGGATTCGTTTGTTTGTGTAAAAAGTCATAAGTAATCGCAAAAATTTTAAATTTTATAACAGGTAGTCGCTAACACTTTCGATATCGATAGTACACCAGACGACACAAAAAGGTGCGCGGGCGACGGGACGTATGAAGAAACTACTTGGGAGTAGCGCGTCGCCCGTTGCTATGGTTTCGCTTCCCCGTACCTCACACCTCACCGTGCCGACACCTATTTTTCGGTTCTGCGCACTTCCATCACTCGTGGCGTTACCTATAGGTACCTACTCGCGCACATTGAAAAGTCATCGGACGGGGCAAGCGATTCGGTGTCAGGCGAATATTTTGTTTTATTTTTGGTGTGTTACAAAGAATGTAGATGCTTATGGGACACTTCGGCAGCAGATTACTCAAATAGAGACTTGAGAACTAAGTCCTATGAAAGACTTTTAAAAGTTTTCAAACAAGTTTGCAAAAATGCAACATTAGCTTATACGAAAAAAAAATTGATAATTTAAGAACAACGTACAAACGTGAATCAAAAAAGGTGAGTATTTTTTCAAACTGGCGAGGCTAATGTTTAGGTACTCTTCATGCGTAATGTCTACTAAAAATGAAAAATACAAAGCCCGGTACTCATGTCATTCAATTATTTGTTTTAGGTTAGAGATTCCATGAAAACTGGCTCGGGAGTTCAATATATTTACTGTCCAAAGCTTTGGTACTACGAATTTCCTTACATTTCTTGATGAAAATATCTTTCACAAAGAACTGGTCAGGATAGCTTGGATGATGAGGCTGGCAGTAGTGGAAGTGTAAGTTCATTTTGAAAATAACACGCAGTTTTTTTAGAAAATTATTATTTTTATTGGGGTACAACCGACAACATTTGCTCTTGAAATGAAACTACGCCTTCATTATTACAATAATTTGTAAATGATTTTCGCACTTCAGTTCCTTGCTCATTGCGCTCATTTTTAAGTGAACGAAGCGATACTAAAGGATGTGTTTCACGCCATTCGACGTTTCTTACGGTTGTCTTTTTACGCCATTTACTATTACATATACTTACATATACTATATATACATTACATATACTTTAAATGACGCTTCAGATTCATTTTCAATATCGAGAGATGTTATATTAATGTATTTTTTATTATTTCTTGATAAATAATTATGTAATACACAACTAGCTAAGACAATTGTACTCACGTTATCTTTATCTATGGAAATAGCACGACGAAATATTCTAAATCTAGAGGATAGAATTCCGAATGCATTTTCCACCACCCTTCTAGCTCTTGAGAGCCTGTAATTAAATATTCGCTTATCGTGAGCTATGTTCTTTAAAACGTAAGGTGCAGTGATTTTTAAATTTGTTAACATTGACGGACTTGGTAAATTTAACCCATCTTCCATCAACTTCTCATAGAATTTAGTCTTTTACAGCACGGAACTATCTGAAACACATCCGTTTGTACCCACGTGAATGTATATAAATTCATAATTAGCGTTTACTACTGCTAATAGAATAATACTAAAAAATTCTTATTTATAGATTACTGCGAATGAAACACAAAACGATGGTTTCGCAGTTCCACCCACTAAAATAAAGAAAAAAGCAGGAGCTCTATACGAAGCAGTCTCAAATTTTAGATCAGGCTCAAAAAATATTAACAGGAAGTGAAGATAATGACTGGGAAGTAATCGGAAAAACGATTGGACTTCAACTCAAAGTTCTAACTGAAGAACAATCAGCCCTTAACATAACAAAAAATAATATCAGATGCTCTCTTCTATGCCAAAATGAAAAAATACTAACAATAAATTCTCAAATAATTTCTCTTTGGAACCTACATATCTACCCTCTCCATCTCCACAACCGCACAAGTCACCATCTCATCAGTACACAATCACTCCATCACCTTCTCCATCGCCACAACCGCACCAGTCATTATCCCATCGGTACACAATCACTCCATCACCTTCTCCATATCCACAACCGCACCAGTCATCATCCCATTGGTATACAATCATTCCATCATCCTCTCATTCTTCACAGGCGCACCATCCATCTTCCACAATTCAATCATACACTTCTTCATATCAAACATCGACATTTACTAGTAGTGATTCAGACCATATTTCTTCAAATTCATTGCCATTGTGTAACGCAACAGAAACAGTTATTAACGAAGAATGAACATATTCTTTGGAACCCCCAGTGATTAGCATTCCATCACCGCCCCATTCCTCAACATCAAGTTCAGGGAGCTTTAAAAGACTTTATTATTTTTACTAAAAAATAAGTACTACAATTATTCTAAGCACGTTGAATATCGGTAGGTAATAATTGTGATTAATGATAAGTAATAATAATAAATAAATACAAATAATTACGTAAAAGGAAATTTCATTTATACCTATATACCTTTAAGTTTATAAGTAGTTTCTGGTATTATTTGTGAGAGTAACTGAGGAGATATAGCATATGAACATCAAGTCATATAGTTGACAGAAGAAGAATCAAATGCTATTAATCTTTCATCAGCACTTACTGCTTTTCGATATATTGTTTTGGTGAGTTGGAAAAACACTCTTCGTTCATCCTTAAATACGTCCGAAAATGTTTAGACCTTAAAACCTTAATCATTTTTAGAAGTGTAAACCTTATCTCTGTTTGTAAATTTCTTCAGCCCACAAGCTTCTCTTTTTCCTCTTTTTTCGTGTATCCACGACGATACTTGATATTACTACTCCTATTACAATCTTTTGTAGTTTAGACAACGTAGGAGCCATGTGAATCACGTCTGCACAGAGTCACCGCTAAAAGCCGATCTGATTTTAAGGAAGCACATCGGAAAGTGTGTAGAGAATGACTCCGATTTAGGATTTCCGACAAATAGGATAGGATCAGAAGGTGTGTATCATGCTTTAATCGCTACATGTATGTAATAAAACTGTACAGTTTCGTCAGATTTTTTAAGACTGTGCAGTCGAATAGAACAGTATGAAAATTTCAATTGATTAATCGGAATCGGACGAACTGTGCCGACTGATCGTAACGTATATGCGCTCGTCAGTTTTTGTGTTCAGTTTTGTTGTCGTTCGCAGTTCGGATGGATGTGCGCACGCGTCATGGAGATGGCGTCTCAAACTAATCGCGAATGGCTAGAACAATTTATTGAGTTATATCGCAGTGAACCTTGTCTTTGGAATACTAAAGGCAAAGAGTATCACAATCGCGATTTAAAACGTTCAGCGTACAATAAAATAATTGAAAATAGTAGACCCTAGGGCTGACAAAGATGCTGTCGTAAAAAAACAACATTCGGTCTACTTACAAAAAAGAGCGTAAGAAGATCGCTGATTCGAAGAAATCAGAAGAAGTCATTACTCTATGTTGCTGTTTTTGGATGACCAAGAAGAACCAAGACATTCACGCTCTAATATGAATGACGAATCAACAGACAACGATGTAAGTTATTTGGTGTGATTATACAGATACAGTTCCAATAAGGTCGGCTTTCCTTACTATTTTTTATTTTGTCTATGGTTTTTAGTCCTGTGGTGTCAGTAGAGTACTATGCGTTCGCTTCCAGTTCATGGCCGCTCCCTCACTCCCCGCCTGCCCGTTGATAGACCCTATAAGCATAATAATAAGGTCTTAATATTAATATTAATACTTATTGAATTAACGTGTAGGTATTTATTGAAATTAAACAACTTTTTAATTAAATGTTTTACTTTCAAAGTTCACAGTTTAAGTATAGATTAGTTAACGTATAAAATTATTTTCACACGTTACGCTACCTTCACTTGCAAAGTATTTCATGTACTCTTCTCTGATTTTTTTTTGCTTCAACTGAGGTATTACCAAGATTTGTTCTTTGTAAATTAACTATGGCTGAATCCGTCGTATCATTTCCTTGAGTTATTGACCTTTCATCACATTTTCTACGTCGAAGCATTCTTGTTGACAATAAGAACTTTCTGATTTCTTCATTAAATAATTATGTAAAGCACAACTGGCCATCATGACAGACTATTCTCTTCGGATCAATACTAATTTTTGTGTGAAAAATTCTAATTCGAGATGCCAAGATTCCAAACGCATTTTCGACAATGCGCCTTGCTCGTGATACACGGTAATTTAGAATTCTGCTTTTATTTGTGGTCAAGTCTCCTAGCCTTAATGGTTTAATTATTGTTCTAAGTGGAAAGCATATCAGACAACACATAAGGAACTTTTATTTGAATGTAGTTGGTACACTGATTGTAATCAAGTTTTTCAAAAACTTAGTGTTCTTGAGTACTCCACCATCAGAAATTCTTCCATTTGTTCCAAAATAACATAAAATCGATAATTTCCATCAACGATTGCTAATAATACCATGCTATGATGGTTTTTGTAGTTGAAATACTCCGAGCCACATCCAGCCGGAAGAAAAATTGCTATGTGTTTACCATCCATTGCGCCTAAAAAATGCGGGAAATTCCATCTCTTTTCAAACACTTTTGCCACGTCCTTCCATTCTTCTTCCGAGCGTGGGAACTGTAAAATAAATGTTTCAGGAAATTGAAAGTGAAGCACAGTCATCTCCGGCCGCCCAGTCTACTTCACAGTCATCTCCGGCCGCCCAGTCAACTTCACAGTCACCTACAGCCACACAGTCAATTCCAGAGACTCGTTCGATTGCAAACACATCATTTAATAGAAGATGGCCAAAAAGGAATGCAAATGAAAACCTAACCACTGACGTTTTACAGTCCGTTCAAAATCAAAAGCCCGCAATTAGTAATGATCGATTTGATATTTTTGGAGCAAACGTTGCAGCTAAGCTGAGGGACCCCACAAAACATCAACGTATTTTGGCCGAAAAAATAATTAACGAAACATTATTTCTCGCAGAAATGGAATATTTGACTATTTCACACCAAGTGATTGATTCAATTAGTGTAAGTTTTACTAATTATGGTTACACCGTTCCCAGCCCCGTTTCACATACTCCCAGTCTGGTTTAAACAATCCTAGCACAGTACCTTATCAGAATTCAAATTTTGAAATCCAAACATCTGGGTTCCCAGTCAACTCTGCAAACTTCTCAACAAGGTCAATCCCAACCAATACAAAATTCAGCGGCTACTTATTTATCTTCTTTTGATATTAATAGGAATTAATAAACCATCATCATTATGATAAGTACAAATTAATAAACATTATATTTTAAGTAATTAGTAGTTTTTTATTCCTTACCTTAAAATATTCTTTGCGGAGAACCTTATAAATTGCTTCACAGGTTTCCGGTATTATGCGACCCAAGGCTTGAGATGAAATAATACTAGAGAATTTCAAATCTTCGTAATTTCTTCCTGTTGATAAAAACCTCAAAGTAGCTACAAGCCTGACATGGGGTGGAGTAGCATTTCTAATAATAGTGTCTTGCTTCTTGATAATTGGTGTTACCATATTCAGTAGATGTAAGTACGTATCATGATCCATTCTTAAAAAATTGTGCCAGTCTTTTGGAAACATCTTTAATTCCGCCAACAAAATGACATGAGAATGAACACTTCCTTTCATTAGCCATTCTTTCCACCAGATGCTACGCTTTTTCCGCTTCACTTTTTTTTCTTTCAGGGCGAATATTAATCCAACAACTGCTAAAACGTCGTCCGTCGAAGCCATCGCTGACACGTGTGCGTCGGCACTGCTTATTGTACCGTTTGATCGTAACGATTTCTCGTAGCGTATAATGGCTTGTATGCCATGTACGATAAACTGTACCGTTCGAACTGTACAGTCTGATCGTAACGGTTTCTCGTAGCGTATATGTCCATGTTCTAAAACTATGTATTACAAAATCTGATATTTGCGTACCGCCGTGACATCTATATCGCTTCGCATCGGTCGGTCGCTAGATTCGTTCCATAACTATATATTATACAAAATCTGATATACGGCCGCAATATCTATATCGCTCCGCATCGGTCGGTGACTAGATTCGCCGTGTGCGACAGCACGCGAGCGTATGGGTATTAGATTAGACGTGTCGGAAAATTAAAATCTTATATTTGTACAATACAATTTGTCATCTTAAATTTTACACTACACTAAATAATAAAAACACAATTTCACTAAATCTTAATTAACTTTCCTTGTGTTTATTTTTCCAACTTTTTAAATATATCTCTTAAAATATTTTGATAAAATGTTAAATATATAATATTAAACTGACGCCCTTCGTTTAAATTACTATAAAACAATACCTGAGCCAATATCGTAACAACAAAGTAAGGTCGAGTCTTGTAATTGCAACTATATGGTTATTGCAACTAATTTAAATAACTCCATCTATCATCACTATTTCGAACAACGACAGGCGTAATATTGTTCTCCTATCCTAAGTTCCAATGAAAAGATTAAGATGGCGCTGATAGCTATTGAACTGTGTAAATAACATGACTTTTTGTCAAACCGCCATTTTGTTCGGAGTGACGCGGCGTAAACGCGGAGCGCAATAGTTATTTAATTCTGTTTTTTGTGGTTTTTGGTAGGTTTCTTTATAAAGGAAGTGATTATCTACTACGGTAAGTTGTTTCTTACGTATTTGTTTCATTCCACGATAAATCTTGCCCAATTTATGGGTTCTGTTACATTTACCAGACTAAAAAAAGTGAGGTTATTGCAACTATTTTTAAATTTTTAGGTTAGTTGCATTTATCTGACCGCTTTTATATGAAGTATGATAATGCTAGTGATGCGACAGTGAAAATAACTACTACGATAAAAATATTTTATCGAAAGGGATACTATTCATACTAAGCAGTAGTTGAATAGTTCGTTTATATATTTGAAACTATTGGCGCTAGTGTCGCTCTTTGAGTCAAATATTAAAATTCTGATTCACTAGGTGGTAGTGAATAATAAATGATTTATTTTCAGTTTATCTCAGTATTTGATAAGTGGAGTCCTGGCATTTAGGTCACCTTATTTTATTTGATGTACAGACGCCAGCAGGTCAAGCTACCCGAAACTGTCAATTTTTCCCAATGAACCTTGAATCTAATGCTCAAGAAGTAAAGTCGAAAATCTATCAAAGAAATCTGACAGATTGTAGTAGCTTGATGTGCTGGCGTCTGTACTACTGTACTACCAAACAATATCGTTTTACCTCTACGACCTGTTTTCTAGTTTTTGAGTATCTTTTTGTTTTATTTTGTAGATGCCAAAATATAAACGAATAAAAGAGACGAAGTATTCATTAGCTGATCGAATAGAAGCTGTCGAAAACGTACGACAAAAAAAATTTATAGCTACCAAGCCTCCGTAAAATACGGAATACCAAGGTCAACCATTATTCACCGTTTATACGGATCATGCGGTGCCAAACAGCCAACGCCTGGCAGACCTACTGAATTGTCAAAAGAGTGGGAAACTAAAGTAGCTTCTAATCTCCATGTGATGGAAAAATGTGGGTATCCATTAACCTCCAAGGAAGTAAAAATATTGATATCTGATTATATTCGAAGGAACGGAATCGTTACGAGATTTAAAGATAACTATCCTGGGTAGGAATGGTTTAGAGGATTTAAAAAACGAAACTAATTAAGTTTGAAAAAGCCGCAGTCTGTAGAAATAGAAATAAAAATCCTTTCATAGTTAACGATTATTTCGATATGTTACAACGAACAATACAAGAGTGTGGTTTGGCTGACAAACCGCAATGTACATATAATTTGGATGAAACCAGCTTTTGTAGTGACCTCACCAAAACTAAAGTTGTGGGTCTGATGGGGTTTCCCTCTACTAGAACGACAGGCTCTCCTGGGAGGAATAACACCACTGTGCTCTTAGCTACGAATGCACTTGGCAAAAAGATCCAAACTTAATAATATTTCAAGGGAAACATCTGTGGAGCGAGTGGCTGTTTAAAAATGATAACATTCATACAGCTTACGCTGTCAGTAAAAAAGGGTGGATGGAGACCACCATTTTAGAACGTAGAACATAATTTTTTGCCAGCTATCGGAGCACAACGACCAGTCTTATTGGTCTATGATGGTCATAAAACACATGTAGATTTGAATGTCATAGACCTTCTAGTTGCCGAAAACATTACGGTTCTTAAACTGCCGGCTCACTCATCCCACATACTGCAGCCATTAGACTGTAGTACAATGAAACCTATGAAAGACAAATGGGACATCGAACTTGTGAAATGGCAGACTCCATGTGGGAGCAAAACTCCCAAAACAAGAATTTGCCAGAATCATAACTAATATATGGGATGATTTAAATCCTGTTATCATTCAAAATGGCTTCTGGAAAGCGGGCATATGCCCTTTGAACAAAGATGCAATCCCAAAAGGAAAATTCGACAGTCTGGCATGATCAAGATGGGAAGAACACCAGCAGCAAAAAACAGCTTCGTTTCGTAATGATACTGATCATAATGGTGAAGAAAATGTTGAAGGAAGTCACACCAAGAAAGATAACAGTCAGAAAGAACATAAAGTACCAACACTAATAAGTGTATGCCTTAAAACAATTAACAGTGAGATACGACGATTGCCAGACGAAATTGATAAGGCTATTGCAAACATTACACGGGATGTGAAGAAAAAGCTACCGACAGAAAATGGTACAAAGGCTGATATGAACACTTACTCAGGTACTCGGGTTACGTTCCAAAAGTGGGAGACTGTAAAGGACCCTAAAACTTTCATACTTTCACGTCCTAATAATGCCAATACCAATGCCAACAGTAATTGATAGAATCAGGCGTTACTTTGCGGAAATCCATTATAATAAAAAAAGACGTGTGGCACTCGGGGACTGCCGCGGTAAAGCTATTGCATAGCATTTTTTATCAACTTATGCAATTATAATTAATTATTTATTTTATTTATCTAGGCTAGGCTAAACGAATCTAATAAAGATCTGTTATTTTTGTCTCCTGCGAAAAAAACAGACTATAGGAATCTATCGAATACCTACATAAACAAAATATCACCTATAAATAAAATATTACGAAGCGGAATAACTAATAAGAGTGGCAACGTCGCACTATACAAAGGAATTGCGTTAAGACGACACCTATCGCCGGACTGATCCGAGTGAATGCATAATTTCTATAAAAACTTGAAAAAAACGCCCTCATAAGGTCTAAAATAGCGTAGCGCCCGATTTAAAGCGGACGATTAAAAGCGCTTAGAAATTCTCAGAAACTTTAAAATATTTTTGTAAAAATTATTGATTTAAGTAATCAAAATAATGAGCAAGTAAATTATGAATATTAATGTTATATTTGAGTGATTTCGAAGCATATAGATTAAGTAATTTCGTTGTAATTTCAACTATAGTGGTTTTTTAGAGGTGTTTTCGCAAATAATTATGATCGAGTCAAAATTATACTATCGTGTTTTTGAGCAATCAAATTCAAGATAAAGACATGAATTTACCTATATCAAAATTTCACTTCCCTTAGTGGTGTCATAGTTCTATCAATTATTTTATTATTATAATAGTACATGATATTCCCTTTAAAATGACACCAATATGAATAATATCTCATATCTATATCTACAAATAAATAAAATTGAAGTGTCTGTTTGTAATGTTAAAATAACAGCTTTTTATTAAATGCATATGAAAGTACTAGTAACAAAAACACAATTTTTAAATTTTTTGTCTGTCTGTCGGTCTGTCTGTCTGTCTGTCTGTTTGTTCCAGCTAATCTCCGAAACAGCTGGATCTATTTTGACGGGACTTTCACTGGCAGATAGCTGATGATATAAGAAATAACTTGAACTACTCTTGTTTTAGAAAAAGAATTAGGGTCCCGCGCAAAAAAAATTAAAACCCATGAAATCCATATTCCACGCGGGCGAGATCGCGGGGAATAACTAGTACTCAATATAGATAAATGTATACTTATTTTTATTTATTTATTATTTTAATAAATAAATAAAAATAAGTATTAATAATTTCTAGACACATCTCAACAGATATTTCGTTAATAAATTGCTATCAATACTGAAGCATTCTTTTATATTTAGCATCCATTTAACACAAAAAAAAACTGATAAGAATACTTTTTAAACAACATATAATCAATAAACGATAATCGCGTATAGTGAATTTCGAGGTAAATTATTATATGTAAACGTTTTTGAATCGTCGTAATGATACATATTTCCTAAAGAAAATATCTCCACAATTAATTTGATGTAAAATAACATTAGAAATAACGTATAAAAACGGAGAAATTATCAAATTTTTGATCGAGTTCCTAACCAGTACACAAACAAAAATGGCGAATAGTCATTTTCACATTTTTTTAGAAATAACGTATAAAAACAGAAAAATTATCAAATTTTTGATCGAGTTCCTAACCAGTACACAAACAAAAATGGCGAAATGTCATTTTCACATTTTTTTTCTATATAGTTATTTGTTACAGAGTACACAGATAAAATTCACTCTCATAGATGACAAATTTCAAACACCACAATCTCTAATTTTTTACTCTGCTATTGTTACGGCCTCTAGTTACCCGGGCAAAGGTCGTAGAACCCGGGCCACCAGGGGTTCAACTCGACGAGTAACAGGAGGTCGGCCTAAATGGCTTGTGGAATATGAGACAATAGCGGTTAAAAAGGAACCAAACAAGACTTACCTATTTC